TAGTAAATTCCGACTTAGATACATTAATCTAGATGAAGTTTTCCTCAGAGTAGCGGCAAGCAGCAACAAATAAATTTCACTTACAAATGTGGGCAGCTCATTCACATGCGCTCAGCAGACAGATTAAAAACGAAATCATCCTGTCCATTTGTCATAACTTTTGCTTTAGGTTAGAATTTCGAGACCATATATGATATTTATATGCCCAAAACGAACCAGCTAGAATAGTTCTTTGCTTACTTTGGTTTTCCCCAAAGTTTTAGTCTCCCTAAATAAGGCGTCCCCAGCGCAGATGCAAACGAATTTATTATTTCTCCAAGAATTCATCAATGATCTCTCTTATATTTGCCCGCTTTTGATAGAAAATGATCCGAATTTTGGTCACTTCTACCAAATACTTGCATATCTCCAGCTTTGTGAAACATTCGCTATCGCCACCAGCAATCCTGTGGCGGCGGACCTGTTGCACCAGCACAAGATGAACCTGTTCCAGACGCTGCTCTGTTACTACGGTACCATTGGCCAGTCTTCAATCTTGCCTCGACTAGCAAGTCAGCTTAATGGGCCAGGACAAAAGGGAGAAAATGAAACTCTGCAGATCAGTCAGTCCTCTTATGCATCTAAAGTCTCCTGTGCCTCCACGACTGATTGTCATTCCAGCCATTCCGAAAGAGCCAGTGAAAATAATGAGGCCACAACTCGTTCTGAGTCTACTCGGTAAGTAGCATGGAATTTTTCATGTGATAACCGTGGAAAGTGGGCCGAGCTATCATGCATTTTAAGTTGTTCTACTCCTTTTGGTATATGCTAGCAAAACAATCTAACAATATTGCAACAATAGGATGAAAAAGATGATGTTGCCCTTGGTATTTCCTTTGTTGCAAAGGGTGGATTGACCTTGTTTTCTTAGCTCTCCTCTTTATGTGGCTAGTAAGTTTTTTGTTTCCAAACCATGAGGAGGCTAATCGTTATCTTCCTTCATCACTTTATGCAACCAAGGGTGACAGAAATTGTATTTCAAGGTTTACGGATAATATCAAAGCCTACTTATTAAGAATATTAATGCCAAATTGTTTTTTGCTTAACTGATACTCCACCAAAGGAGATTGAAAAGCATACTGTATTTTGCATTGAATTCCAATTTAGCATCCATACTAAAAGATTGAACTGCAATTTCGACTTTGCTCACACATATCTAATCTCTTTCAATTTATATTTAAAGTCTAGATTATAGTGCAACACAGGTGGTATATGATCTTGTGGTTTGTGAGAAAACGCTTATGCCTTTTAGTCAATGGTTCAGCTGTCTTGTTGTGGGGCTGACAAGGCCTAGGTGAGTTCCTAAGTAAAGTCCAGCCATAACAAATACAGTATCTTCGAATGCATGCCAAAGTGAAATTCACTGCGTAACTCAGACATTTTTAACACACTCCATCTTAGACAAACTTGTCTACAGCCTAAAAAGGAGCCAGTCGAAGCTATAATAACTAGACAGTCAGAATCCTTTCTCCTAAGGCCTACAGAGAGCAGGAAATACCACATTTTGTCATTATAGACTAGTTTTGCAAAGTTGTTGGAGGGAAAATTTATTTTCCACAATTTTCCCTGAGATTCATGAGAAGAAGCCTGAGCAAAGTTTCTCTCGCCCTGGGAATTATTTCTGCACCCTACAGACATGACCCTGAGATTGAGCGATCGAGTGAACAATTACTATGATTGCATTCAAGGACAGAAGATAAAATCCCGTTTCGAATATTTGTAAAACCTCGGGAAAGTCAAGGAAAAATATTTTAAGGCTTCAAAAACAAGAAATTAGTAAGCAAGTTAACGTCTTATGAGATAGAAAGAGAAGCTGGGTCTGAAAGAATCCCTTAGTACAGTGATTCCCAAACTGTGCGCCGCGGCGCCCAGGGGAGCCGCGGCCTCTTTACAGGTGCGCCGCGAAATATTGTAAAAGCTTCAATTTAAGAAAATGTGCAGTGATTTGCAGGCTCATTCATCACATTAATTATTACATATTAATTTAATGTTAATAAAGTAAAAAAAAATAATGAAGATACACGAGTTTTATCTATTTGTATCTCTTACTTACGAATAGTCATAGGTAGGGTAGTGCGTCATGGAAAAAGTTTAATTGAAAAAGGGCGCTGCGACTAGGAAAAGTTTGGGAACCACTGCCTTGGTAGATTGATATTGTCATAAATTTTATTCCGTTTGAGAAAGCGGGTAGAAGGGATTCTCAGATTGGCCTCACCTGATACCGAAGCAGGGTTGCCTTGAACTTTTTTCTGTTTAATTGTGCGAAGAAGATCTCGGCTTACCGTCCTACCACCCGATGACTCCACGCTGAGCTTTCATCCATTATGTGGTGGACATCGTCAGAGCTAGAAACCGTTATTCACGAAGAATCACCAAAGACACTAAATTAAGAAATTTGGTGACTTCTTATACCTCAATTTGTGATCTTATTGAAGCATTTCATTATTTTGTCGGCTGTTTTATGCTCGTCCTACATTCATGTAAGCAGTCAATATGATGCAGGAAGGGGAGCGGATGTGATTACAACTTTTTTCGATGTAAATAAACCAGCGTTATTATCTCTTTATTTATTGTCTTGACGGTCCATTTACTCAGTAATTCACCTATCTTTCTTGGAAGCTTGCAGCATTAGGAGCCTGGACAAGAGTTGTCTAATTTTTTGCTTTGTCTCACATAACGGTTTCCTTAAACTATATTTATTTGTGTTTTGAAATTGTTAACACTAAACCTTAGGGGTGATTGTTCTCAACTAAGATTTTTCTTAGCCTTTATAACCCCTGTTCCTGATGATTTACGTCCGTAAGACGTAACCTTCTTATTAGCAATGATTTGATTTGTATTATTTTAATACCATAAGTAGGCTTCGAGAATAAATTAAGAAGGAAACCCCCACTTGTGGGTCTCCTATATACATTTCTACCAAGTTTGTCCCCTTCTTCAA